TCTCTCTCTCTCTCTCTCTCTCTCTCTCTCTCTCTCTCTCTCTCTTTTCCCTCCCTCCTTTTCCCAAGACCTTTGACTCTTAACCTCTCCCCTCTCCCCCTCCCCTCGATGGCCCGTGACTAACCTCTACCCTCACCTGTTACATTGCCAGGGAACGAACGGCAAGGAACTTGGTCCTCATTTGGTGGAAAGCGAGGGCAATGGGAGGGTTGCCGGTCCCTTGTGCCACCAAGACGGGAAGGCACCAGACTGTTGTAAGTCTCGGAAAAAGTGAAAGGAGTGCTGTTTTTTTTTATTGACAAGGTCAGTTTGACTCAACCATCCTCCCCGACTGCATGACTAAGATAAAGGCATGGTTTGCTTGAGGGAAGAGAAAGACAACCAAAGGATCATCGAAGGGCAAAGGAAGCTTAGGATTGTGGGAAGGGGCTGTGTGTTGACCTCAATGGGGCTTGTATTTGGTCCATGCTTAATGTGGTGTTTTGCAGGTGAGTAGCTTGGGATGGGTGTTGACTGGGACTGGATTCACCGGAAAAACTGGATAAGGGAAGGACTTAGACCTCGCATAAAACTATGAATGCAGGATGGGTTTGACGGTCGAATGCTTGGATGGATAGTCGATGTTTGGATGTGGCTTGTGTGATGATTGAATGCAATGGCTTTCTTGAATGCAATCCAAGCCCGGAAGGACTAAGGGCAGTCTTGGATAGGTGAATGCAATGCTAGCAGCTCAAGCAAAAAAAATAAAATATAGCGGCTCGAGGTCCGGGCGAAGTCACCCCACCCCAAGGATGCCGTAGGGGCTGTCTTAAGCCACTAGACTTAGTGAAAAGGCGTGTGGCCCAATGGATGACGCTTGGCCTGCGCGCGGCAAGAAGACGAATCCTCAACGAACTCCCTGGACTGCCTGCATTTTGGAAGGAGCAAATGCCTAGTCAGATCTAATCGAATCAAGAAAACGCCACGAGTGAACAAAGAGCTACCATCTTGACGTGAGAGCGGAGCTACATCCCCCAATGGAAAGCCCTCTCGCAAAAGGCCCATCCCCATCCATCTCAAAGCACTATGTGGGGATGCCTCTGGGACGAACAACCCACGCCCTGAGCGTGAGCGTGGGCGGGTCGAGCCAAATGGGACCCGCAGTGGGGTCGACTCAGGCTCGAAAGTCCTTCAGGGTATGACCCTTACAAAAATGGTAGAGGTGTCGGGTAAGGGTTAAACTGACCCTAACGATCTCGAGGGGGATGCCCGACGCATAACCATGTACATAACTGAAGATACGGAATACGGACTTGTGTATGCTCTACCCCTTTGAGTCAAGCAGATTTGATGGCGGCTGGGCGCATGGCAAGACCAGGCCTGAAGGTATAACATGTATGTTGCACATACAATCAGCCATCTCCTTTAGAGGTGACTGTAGTCCTCCTTCTCTCGGGCTGATGTTCGTCAGACCGGGGAAGCCTTGGGCAAGCCGCAGGTCGACCCTTCCTCTTCATGTGAAAGAAGGGCTCTGGTTACCTAGCAGGCGGTTGGGATTCTGGGCCAGTCCAGGTTCCAATGAAAATCCCGCGGCGGAGCGATCCGACCGACACGGGTGCTTTCTCCTCTTCTTCGGAGCCCAGCGGGCTCCATGCACCGCACTTAAATGTTTGAAGGAACATCATATGAACACAATGGGTAATCGAGAAAGAACAATCTTTCCCTATGAACGGACACACAAGTGAAGATAAGGGGAATGAAGGGAGTTGCCAAACTCCAAGAAAATTAGCTCACCTTTGAAGATGCTCACGAAAAGGAACCGGGCACTATGTGTGGAAGTTAGGGGTGAGTGACATACACTGTCCTGAGTGAAAACCTGTGAGCAATGGGTAGAAAGCGCTGAGTCCACCAAGGGAAAGACACTAGTACTATGTGTGTCCCACTTGGGACTTGTGTTTGCATGTTGGGGATATTGAGCGTCCTGCCATTTGGAAGGAAAGGAGGGGTCTGCACCGGCCGGTGCGAGTTGCCAAACGTCGTTCCCTTTTGTAGACTGCCGTGGGTTCGTGTGTGGAGGTCAGGCCACCAAGCTGTCGGACGGGAGTTTGTCACGTCGGTTGATTAGTAGCATTCTCGTTCGAGCGGTGATGAGCTTTGGCTCGATGATCTGCCGAGCGGGGTGTGAAATCTCCTCAGGCGGGGCTTAGCCTGTTGGCTGGCGAAGGGAGTACCACTTACATGCGGGCACAGACGGAGCCTCGGGGACGATTAGTAGCTTCTCGTAGCTTGGTTTGGGATAGGCTGTTCCTTATCGGACCGATGGAAGTGAGTGCCTGGACTGCTGGCTCCACTGGCCTACCGACATGTGCGGGGTGATTCCCGAGCTTAACGGTGGGTACACGAGCGGCAAGTCGGGATGGGGTATTCTGGGCAAGAAGGTGAGGGCGACCCCCCACTGGAGTCTAGGTACCGCGCTCGCGACAGTTGAGCTGTGTTTGAGGTATGGGATAAAACTCTGCCGATAGTAACAGTGGAGAGACCATTTCCGGGGAGAAGGTGGGTGAGGAGATGACCGACCTGTGTGCGACGTTTGCCGGAATTTTGCCTTTTGTGCCTCCCTCTGTAAAGTTGCCTGATGACTGTTGGATGGGGACTGAGTTTCTGAGTCTATTCTCATGACCAGGTCTAAGTCCGCACGAGTGAGAGAACATGATGATAAAGGTTGATAGGAGTCAGAAGGAAATGAAACCAAGAAAAAGGAATGCCGGCTGAGGGTGATTGACTGAGGGTATGATAGGGCAACAACGCCTGGGAAAAAGGTAGGAAATACTAGGGAGACCCGGATGAGGGGTCTGAAAACCATTCTCGTCAAAAGAAAAAGGGAGACAATCTGATCATGAGGGGCCATGTGGTGCTCTATTGTGAAAACAGGACGGGCGCCGGAAAAAACAAGATGGGGCGGTGGTTTTCATCTCCTGTCTATTCTAGTGGGCCGGAAATGCCAATACACGTAGGGGAAGGGGTATCTGTTGTTCTCCCGGAGGAAGGAACGTGGACGGACCTAGAACCAGCCTATGAAACTGTAATGCTGGATGAAAAGGACGCGTTCCTCTGGATAGAGACAACTTGGACTAAGGTCAGCCTGACGAGACTCTCACCAAGCCTGATGGATTTAGAATTCCGAAAAACTGTGGAAGCTCGAGGATGGGTCTACGTATCTCAGGAAATTAAAAATGCAATGGTAGTGGGACTAGTACTGGGCACGACACCAGATCAGTTGTTTAAGCAAGCGGAATTGGAAGTGGTATGGGCGACATGTCAGTGGGCGGAAATGGAGATGGAAAAGATGGAGGTGCGAGTGGAACTCGAAGACCGGAAGAACATGAGACGCCGCCTTAGGACGATGAGATGCGTGCTACCCCCGTTTCTGGTGGATGCAGTCTTTGGGACCAAGGATAGATTGGAAATGATATGTCGGTCGATGATGGGCCTGAGGTTGTACCAATGTGCTAGACATGACTTTTTTAGAGTGTCGGTGGAAGCGGGGCTGTTTGAAGGAAACTGGGCGGAAGAATTAGCTGATGTATTAAACCTCCTCGGCACGGACGAAATCTTCGTTCCCAGTCCGGTGCATTGGCAAATAGTTTACCGGAATGTGGCGGCAGAGGAAACCTTCTTGGAGGGGGTGAAGGACCTGTTCTCAGACGAAGAATGGGATTTCAGTGATGATGAAGAAGGAGATGAGATAGAAGACTGGGACTTCTGAAAGGGGGAAGGGGCTTACCCGGGAATGGGCTGTCAACTATGTGCAGGTAGGAAGCAATGGCCCGGTAGCGCGAGCTGTGGGACTGCACACCCAAGGGATGGGAACCAAGATGGACTGGAAGGGGAGTAGAAATGTCCATACCAGCGGATCATGAGTGGAGAGGAACCATGTGTGACTGGGTAGGAGCTGAACTTGTGCCCGACCTATCATACCTATGGATAGAGCGTGTTTGGAACCCGCTAAGGGAAGAGGAAGAATGAGAGGAAATTGCGGAAGGAAGGGTGGAATCGGTCGGGACGGTCGTCTTATCTGAACAAGGCTGGCACCTGTTTTGCACAACACTCGCAGCAAGGCAAAACCTGATGTGGCTTCTAAGGGATGTTGAGGCAAGGGCTCGACGGGCGGGCAAGAGGTTTGCGAACAAGGGTTGAGATGTGGTCAGTAGTAGAGTCGTGATGGGAGGATGGAAGGAATTTAGGCCCCCCTGCCAACGAATTAAGACCTGGGTACCCGAGTTCGTAGCAGAGTGGTTTGGGGGTTTTGACCATGTCGAGGAAGTAGCCAGCACTATGGGGCAGGTGCACGTGAATTGCGATTGGTTAACGGAAGAGTTCTATAAAACATCTCTGAAATATGGACCGTTCCATGGCGATAGAGTCTGGGAGGTCCTCATCATTTTGGACATCGAAAGGAATGACAGGATGGAAGCGGCCCCGGAAACCAGGGAGGCTATGATTCGCCGCGAGGTAGCAGCCACACCCTGCTATGTAGATGATGTGTTTAAGCTGTTCGAGGTACTGTGGTTCGACTGAGAGCGGGAAAGAGTGCGGGGGCCAGGCAAGCATGAAAAAACTGCTAAAATGAGGGAATGGGATGTCTGGCTATTGTAGGATTCGGCAAGGATCGTGGGGTAGAAAACCAAAGGCGAGCACACGATGGCACGAAGAAGGACATTTCTCGAAGATCGCCCCTAAGCATTGAGCCACCTAGGGAAGTACCAAGTGGGATAGAGGTTAGCTTGCCGGCGGCGAGTGGGGGTTGGCACCCGGTGGCGGACTGGGTCGGGGTTGAGCTTATGGAAAATACGGCTTACCTGGTAACAAGGGTCGAGTGGCGCGCGGACGAGCATGGGGAGTGGAACCCGGACCCGCGGGGGCATGTGCGTGCAGACGGACGATTGTATGTGTCCGAGGATGGGTGGCGCGAGTTTGGGGTTCTATTGGCATCAGGGGAAGACCCATTGAGTATGTTCGAAGGGGCATGGCAGTTAGTATGGGAGGCGGGATTTGAGTTTGCAGATCCGCAATTTGATGACGTGACGACAGACCTTAGGGTAACCATGGTTGGAAGTTTTGAATTACCCAGTGAAAATATTTGGATGAGGCTGCCGCCTTTTCTGCTGGATCGGCTAGGCGGCCTGAAACTTGTCAGACGGGCGGTGGCCGACCTCGCCAGCTTGACATATGAGGAAACGGTGATACACCGAGAATACTATCGGGCCTTCCTAGAAATGGGGCCGTTCAGCGGAGAGCAGAAATATGAGGTGCTGCGAATCCTGCACGCCGTGTTTACCACTAGACCAAGGGCTCGGGTTGTAGGCAGTGAGGTTCTGTGGGCGTCGTCCAACGGGAAATAAGTCGGGGAATGACGTACGTAGACGACCTATACCGATTGTATGAGCCGATGGAGGTAGGAACAGGCCGATAGAAGAGCCAAGGAAAGGGATAGAGAGGAAAGGAAGCGTCAAGCTAAGGACCAGGGAGTCGCTCAGGTAAGGATCGAAGAATAAATGAAATAAGCAAACTCGCTTGCTGTTTAAACTGTGCAGGGGACCGCTAAATCGAAATGGCGATGAGACGCGCCCGGATGTCGCRACGGCCCACGCAMSCYSGACCCCCCACGRAAAGCGGAGACGGATGGGAGGTATCGCTCCCAGCAAGCTACAGGGTCCGAGGGATCGATACCGAATGGAGAGCCGTAACCTTGGGAAGGGACCAGGCGTTCATGATGGTGGAATGTTTGTGGGATGGTATGATAATTAACAGGGGACCAGGCGTAACCTCAGGGTGACTGGAACCGTATACCTACCAGAACTTGGATGGCACATGTTAGGAACGGAACTGGCGCTAGGGCATGGGTTGTTACCAATCTTCCAAAGGGCTACTAGGATATTGAACCGAGTAGGCCAGGAAGTGCGGGGAAGGAGGAATGTGGGACTGAGAACCCGGGTGGAGGAAGGAGGTTGGCAAAAGTTTAAAACCCCAATGACTGGGCTAAGGTGCCGAGTCCCCCGCTTCATGGTGGACCTGGTATTTGGCAGCCTCAAGAGGGCCAGAGACCTGGTGGATTCGACCCTGGTCTGGGTCCACCACTTCCGGCCACAGACAACAGGGATGTTTTACGATGTGTCGGTCAGGCATGGGCCGTTCTGGGGAAATCAGGACTGGGAATTGCTTGAACTCGTTGAAATCTTGATATTCGGACTGCCCCGCTTGTCGTTTAAGGAATACGAACCAATAATCGTTAGGGAAATAGAGATGGGAGAAAACTACCTTGCCGGGGTGGCTGACCTGTTCGAGGAACCGGACGAACAGGGCAGGCCTAAGGGACTAGCGTGAGAAGAGGCGTCAGGGGGAAGATGGAAAAATTAAAGGATGGGTATTAAGATGAGAAAGTAGCCATCAGCAAGAAGGGGGGGCACTGGTTGGAGTTTCGCCGTACCTGACGATGCGGCAGGAAGGAACTAGGAAGACCACCCGCACCAGGAACGCTGAGGCATTTGGGTGTCAGAAAGCCGAAAGGGCTATCCTCAAGGGGAAAGCCACTGGGCTCAGACACCCCCCCGAGAGATGAGGCAGGGCAACGACAAAATGCTAGACCTCGGCAGCAAGTCCCCCGGCGGAAGAAAATCTAAATGGTGTTCTGTGAAAGAAAAGTCAGGAGTGTCGTCCCGACTTATAAAAGACGGAAAAGGGCATGAAAACAACCGGGTTTTAGGGCTGGAACCAGGGAAGCCATGAACAACTGGCCATTTTTCACAAAAAAAAATTCCCATGTGCAGGCTAGGTAAAGAAATAGCGTCACAAGAACAGGACAACAACCAGCAGAACAGAGGGAGTCAGGGTACGAATAGGGACCAGGAACAGAACGAGGGGTCGGATCAGGAATCAGCAAAGCTAGAAGAGACCAGAGAAGAAGGGAAGGCCTCTCCACAGGGGAAAGTTCAAAACAAATTGGGGGTAGCAAAAGGGGACCACAGGAGAATAGGGAAGGGAGGAACGACGAAAAGAGGAGTCCTCGGAACTTCGGAGGAACCACGCCCAAGAAAACGAAAGTCTCGGATGCACGCCTCAAATTGGCAGAAATAGAAAGACGGACCGCAGAATACAAGGCAAGACTTATTGAACAAATGCTGGCTGGGAATGAAGAGGATCCCCAGGGGGAAGGGTCGCGAGAGGGACGCATGACCAATCAGGGCGAAGCCAGGTACGGAGCAAAAGATAACAGTCATAAGGGAACACCCAGCAAGAAGGGAAAGGAAAAGGGGGAGTCCCCGGCTATAGAGGCAGAAAAGGCCACGACCCCGCCGGCTATCGATAGCGGCGCTAATCGTCTGCCCACCACATCCAAAGCAACGAAGGGATGCGATGGACTTTGGAGTCTCAAAGAGAGGGTGTTAGGCTGGTTTGATCCGGAGGGAATACCGAAAACCGGGGAAAAGCACAAGGAAGGCAGGGAAGGAAAGGGGAATAGTGCGGTCGGTGAGGCGGATAGCTTTGAAGAGGGACTTAAAAAGGATAGTAGACACCCTCACCCGGACGTTAAATAAGAATCAGGGGTATCTCGCAGATGCAAAAAAGAAACTCAATTTCGATGGGGCAAACATCACGGAATTCCTGATAGATTACGAGAACCTGGCAGCCTTACTAAAATGGACTGAGGAAGAAAAGATGGACCACCTAGGGCATCGTATCGCTGAGCTTAGGAAGGGACATTATGGCTATCGTCTCCTCTAGTGGATCCTGGAAGGAAACCCGGAATGAGATGATGAGAAAGTACCTGAAGGCGGAGAAAATGGCGACAGAGGCTGACGTGGCGACAATCCAAAGGAAAAACTATGCTACTTACAATGACCTTCTGAGGGCGTTCACTCTAGTGGCATTGCGAATCCCTAGGGTAACGGATCGAATAATGAGAAAGTACTTCCTTAGGCAGTTCTCCGAGTTCGACAAAGATAAGATTTTGTTAGCCTACCAGCAGACTAGCAAGTTCGAGTACACTAGGGATGTGGACTTCAGCACGGTAGCAGACCTCGCGGAAAAGACAGTGGTGACCGATACGCTAGCCCTGCTCAAGAAATGAGAGGTTATAGACTTGACTGGGAAGACATGGGATAAGGTTAAGAAGGGCATAAAGAGATTGCACGAACGAGTGCATGGGGTTCACAGCAAGATGGAAATAATGGAAAATGCGCTATTAGTAATGCACGCGCAGGTGTCCCGACCCGCCCTCCCACCCCAAGAGGCCGTAGTTACGGCAGCAGTGGCGAATCGGGGGTATGGCAGAAGGGATCCGTCCAATGAGCAATGAAGGTATTGCACAATGGTCAGACATTTCGTGCGGACTTGCCCAAGACTCAACCATGATATCATGAGACAGAGATGCAGCAGGTCCCTTAAGGGTGAGATTCTCGGGTCCCAGGGAGAACGCGTAAATTGGAATTCGCCAGGAGGAATGCGGCGTGCCGTCATCGTCCTCAATAACTTGGATATAGCCTCCGTAGAAGTAGAACCGGTAGCCGATATTGTCTGGGACCAACCAAGGGGACGTGGCCCACAGGCCAATTTCATCCTAGACGACAATGGGCAGGATAGGGTAAACATCACCACCCGACGGACCGGTGCGGAAAAGAAGCTTATTCGAGACACGATAATGGAAGAGGTTGCTGAGACTGGCGCAAATCAGGAAGAGACTGAGATCGGGGAACAGGAGAAGGTCTATGGGAAGGCAAGGGAAGACGAGTCGATAGACAAAGTTGCGACGGCAAAGAAGAAGTTCAGGTATCAAATTCCGATCCTAACTTCGCCTGAAATCGATGGCACCCTGAGTAAGCTGCTGGGTACCATGGTATCGTTTCCTTCCAGACCACGCTGCAAGCCAGCCTAAGGCTGCTTAAAGGACTCAGGCAGTTGCTAACGCGCAAATGAGTAGAAGTAGAGGAGGCCCCGGAACCACAGGAGCAAGAAACAGAAGAGCCCGAGACGCCACAAGGGGTCTCCAACCTCCAACGAATTTCCGGAGATCTGGATGACTTGGAAAAGGCCTTTACAGACATCCGCCTAAGCTTACCGGACCAAGAAGGGGGTGAAGTCATGAAGGCGCCGCCCGGGACGAAGCTTAGCTTCCATGCCTTGCCCGTAGGAAAGCTGAAGGTCAAAATCGGAACGCACCACACAGATGCATTAGTGGATGACGGTGCAGAAATTACCCTCATACGATGGGATTTTGCAACGATTACCGACTGCACCGTAAACAAGGAAGTGATGGGGAGTATCCGGGGAGCTGACGGGGAGATTCCCTTTGCAGGGTACGTCACGAAATGTGCAGTCAGGGCGGGGATCAGGGAATCAATCTGGTCCTTCCAGCGGATGACCATGATGGACGAAATGGACCATGACATAATTCTTGGAAGACCACGGTGCACCAATGTAGAGATGATAGGTATGCATCTGCACGAGGACACATACATGGTAGACATAGAGGACCCAATGACCGGCCGCGGAGAACTCCTCCGACCACTTGGGATCAGAGGGGATCCGCCGAAGGGCAAGTTGGCAACTTGGTCCCCGACGTTCGAGGAGAGTGCATGAAAGGGGGCATTCGCACGAATGGAAGGCATGAGGGAAAGGGTAGAAATCATGATTGAGGAAGCCTTTAGCAAGAAGGAGTGGATCAAGAGGGGTCTACCTATGAAGAAGAGGAGGCAAGAGGACGAGGCCCTGGAAGTTATGGTGGCAGAAAAAGAGTCGAAAGTCGAACTTGGGGCCAGCCTGCCCAAACTAAAGGAGGGCCGGAACGAAACGCCAGAGGTGGTGCTTGAAATCCCAGACTTGTTACAACTCGTTAAAGCCATTAGGTAGCACAAGGTGGAGGTGGACCCCGCAGCGCTCGCTAAATTTGAAGACGGGGTCCGAAAGGGCTACTGTTTGAACGGGAAGCTAGTCAGCATCCAGCCCCGCGTCCTGGAGGTAGCAAGGTCAATTTTGACCGTTCATTTTTTAGGAGAACGATCCCCGAAGGCAGTGTGCGAAAGTACAAACCCGTAGGTAAGAAGGCCAAGCCGGTCTGGATCCTAATAGAAACATTAAGGGAGGAGGTCATGGGGAAGGAAGAAGAAGTTTTGCAGACAATAAGGGAAAGGCGAGCAACAGAAGGGCATCAGATACCGGATGAGGTAGCAGAAACCATAAAAATAGGGGTAGATGGGTTCCTAACAGAGAACAAAACTCGGTTGATAAGAAGGGCGTGCCAGGAGTTCCATTTAGTCTTCACTTTCAATGACCACCAGAAGGGTCGGTTGGATGCGAAACTAATTTCCCCCGTTAGGATCCATACGGTTGAGCATGAGTGCTGGAACGACAAAGGACTTGCCTATGAGTTTGGAATAGCGGCAAAGATCACCGACCTGCTTAGAGCCAAGATGGATTCATTCGTGTCTGAACCCACCGCATCCCCCTACGCGAACAAATGGTTCGTTTTCCGGAAGCCCAACAAGACGCTCAGGTGGATCCAGGACTTGCAGAAGCTTAATGCAGTAACAATTAGGGACACGGGTTCGCTCCCACAGGCGGACTTGCTGGCCGAATGGCATGCTGAACGAAGTATTTACTCCCTGATAGACCTATACTCAGGATATGACCAGTTGCCGCTCGACGCGAGGGATAGACCGTATACCGCTATGCACACACCAGTAAAGCAGTTGCAGATGCAAGTGACTCTTATGGGTTCCAAAATGCGGTGGCAGAGGCGCAGAGGAGAATGCTGGCTGTAGCAGGAGACATGTTCCCAGAGAAATGCGAGCCATATGTAGACGATAACCCCATAAAGGGCGCGCAAAACAAGGATGAGACAGAGGTTGAGCCAGACATGCGAAAGTTTATATGGGATCACCTACAGGATATCAAGCATCTCTTACAGCGATTTCTGGTTTATAATATTACCGCAAGTAGACCAAAGAGCATCCTGATTGTTCCGGAGGTAACCATATTGGGGTTTTGTTGTGGGGCTTACGGGAGAAGACCCATCCGGCAAAAACTGATAAGATCTCTCAATGGCCGACGCCCCTGCGCACCATGACTGAAGTACGAGCCTTCCTAGGGGTGGTCGGGTTCTGGAGGATCTTTATCAAAGGATTCGCAAAGATAGCGGAGTCTATCCGCGCAATGATTAGAGAAGGTGGCACCATGGAATGGACCGAGGATAGAGAAGCGGCAACCCAAACCCTTAAAGACATCCTGTCTTCCGATCAGTTCACCCTAGCAACACCCTGTTTCAACGATGAGGTAGGACGACCCTTCATCTTAGAAACAGACGGGGGACCGCTGGCAGTTGGAGGAGTATTGATACAGAAAAGCGAGGAAGGCAAGGAAAGGCCAATCATATTTGAAAGTAGAACCTTGAATTCGGCAGAACGGCGGTACTCACAGTTCAAGAAAGAGGTCTTAGCGATCCTGTTTGGGAGGCGGTTCATCCTGAGGATCGACCCAACCAACGTCGCTGGGGCACTAAAGAACTATAAGCCTATCAACCCAACCGTCGGGAGATGGATAGGCTTCATATGGCAGTTCGACTATAAGGTCGAGCGGATTGCGGGGCTCCGAAACAGGGCGGATTGGCTGAGTAGGGTATGTATCACGCCGGAAGGGATAGAGGACGCAGAGCCGATTGACGCCTTCCTGGAATACCAAGGAAGGATTCATGCTGTGGATAACGAGATGACAGACTCCATAGCCATGACGGGTCAGTTGCTGATCCAGACCTTGGAAAAGGGCGCGCCTGCGGTAGTGGCGGAACTTCGGGAAGGACCGGTTACTACTTTTAGGCGTACAGACGAGAGGGATTCGTGGGGTGCAGTGATTGGGCCTAAAGAGGAACTGATGGCAATGGCCGTTGAAGGAGGACGGGACGCCATGATGACCTTAATAGAATCCTGGACGCAAAAGGAACCGCAGTACCTGGTGAATCAGGCTCAGGAGGAGCAGGGTACCGACCAGAAGGAACGGGAATTTTTCCTCATACAGATGTATGAGGGCATCTTCAAGGAAGTCGTCTTGTTGCTCATAGGAAACAAGCAACCCTTAGAAGTCAGCCGCCACAAGGCAAGGGAGGAAGCCGAAAAGTATGTTTTAAGGAACGGTCACTTGTTCAAGAAGGAAGAGGGGATGATGCCTAGACGAGTCGTGTGCAGAAGGTCTAGGCAATAAGACATAATCCAGGCAATGCACCATGGACTAGCTGGAGGTCATAGGTCATCCAAAGGGACCCTTGCGAAAATTGCACCACTCTACTTCTGGCCAGGTATGGCAGGTATGGTGGCAACATATTGCCAGACATGCCTGATATGCCAGAAAAGGAGTTCCCTACGTGTCTTCGAGCCCCTTAGACCTACCCAGGTACTAGGGCCGAAGCACCTAGTTCACCTCGACCTTGCAATTATGCCGGTGTCAACGGATGGATACAGGTACATCCTGGATGCAAGGGATAACCTCAGTGGCTACGTAGAGGCGGTGACACTCAAGAGAAAGAGAGGGAAGGGAGTGGCCGATTGGATAAAGGATTTCTACCTAAGACACCCCTTTGTGCGCAGATTCATAGCAGATAATGAGACGGAGTTCGTCAATCAGGAGGTATTGAGCTGGCTTAAGACCCTGTGCGTACCCATCAAGATCATTGAGCCATATCACACTGAGGCAAATGCATCGATAGAAAGGGCGCACCGAACTTTGAAGAACACAACCGCCAAGCTGGCAGTGGACGATTTGGGAAACTGGCGACGGTTCCTTAAGCAGGCGGTCTTCTCGGAGAACATGACGCCGAAAAGGACGACGGGATGCATCCCGACAAAACTCTGGTATGGGAGGGAGATCGATTTCCCGGTGGAAGCCCTGGTTCGTACCTGGAACAGGCTAGATGACAATCCGCACATGTGTACTGACGAACTAATTATCGCGCGTTGCCAACAGGTCGTGAGAAATGACGAAGCCTTGGAGGATGTGGTTTGGCGGGTAATGGATAGTCGAATGAGGGACAAGGCCAGGTGGGATCAGGTAAAGAACATCTGGAAGGAGCCGCTTCAAGTGGGAGAAAAGGTACTAGTCAGGAACTCGGCACTAGAAAGCACATGGTCTGGGCAGTTGGGAAAAAGGTTCAAAGGCCCATACAGAATCGCAAAGCGGTGGGACTGAACACCTTTGAACTTGAGGATCTTGATGGTACAAGGATAAAGGGGCCATTTCCGGGACAAAGGCTGGTCAGGTTTTTTTAGCAGGGATCCGGTGGAGCAATGGTTGCAGGCGGCGCAGGACACGAAAACAGCGGAATTGACAACTTGAAAAGCAGGCAGCTGACTATGAGTCTATACCGCCTTCCTGCGAAAGTACTCATGACTACAGGGGTTGTCCGTTTGTGTCGTTTTTCCTGTGGAATATGGGGTAACTGACTGGGCTGAGTATGAATGAGGTTGGGAGCATGGGACAATGTACCATAGTTTTTGTGGGGCAAATCTGGGGACTGTTTATATGAGGTATCTATGTGTCGGGGAAATGTACAATAGTTTTTATGGGGCAATTCTGGGGACTGTCTACATTAGGTACCTATGTGCTGGAACAATGTGTCAAACGTTCTAAGGGATAATGAGACTATCAACCGTATGGGGGCAAGCAAGAGTTCTGGGGAAGCCTGCAAATTTGCAAATGGGAGTGGGAGGGAATGTGTGTGTATGAGGGGGTGCGGTGACCGTTATGTATCAACAGGATCAGGCAAAAAGAAAGCAACAAGAAAAGACAAAATGGAGTTTGGAAACGAAAATGACAGCAACGCCATCATCAGGCCTAACGAGCAGCAGCCGACAAGACAGGCTGGAGAATCAAGCTTCAGGAAAAGGAAGCTGTATGTGGGATTTGACCACAATCTGGTCATAAACAGAGGGGGGGAAAAGCAAGGGACCCAGGGGCCGTCACCTCCTAGAGAAGGGGAGCCAATAGTCCTCCCGCCAGACAGCGATGATAGTGAACAACAGGTCGGCAACTCGAGAAAGAGACAGAAAGTGGAAGAGGAAGAGTCCATCGAGGTCATAGACCTCAGCAGTGAGGAGGAAGAGGATGAAGTGACAACACCTACAAGGGAACTCCGGGGAAGAGAGGAGGACCCGGGGGAAGAAAATGACATATGGGTAAGAGAGTTTGGGCTGGCTTTTAGCGACTGGTTTGATCAATGGGCCAGTATCTTGCGATACTAGTGGGCAATGAAGAGAAAGGAAAAGTTGAGCAGGGGAAAGGACATATCCCCAACAATCTTCTTCACAGAGGAGATATCACAATCCTTCCCCTTGTGTTGTTGAGTCAAATCTTTGTCTTTTTCTCTCCCAATCTCTCTCTCCTACTCATTTCTCTGCTTGGTTGCAAATCGCAACTCATATCTTGATGATGTGTAGTATTTGAGTGTTGATTCATGCTTGTTTTGTCCATTTTAGCCTCTCCTTGTGAATCGCAATCCTTCCCCATGTGTTGTTGAGCTAAATCTTTGTCTTTTTCTCTCCTAATCTCCCTCCCCTACTCATTTCTCCACTTGGTTGCAAATATCAACTCATATCTTAATGATATGTAGTATTTGAGTGTTGATTCATGCTTGTTTTATCCATTCTAGCCTCTCCTTGTGAATCGCAATCCTTCCCCTTGTGTTGTTGAGCTCTCATAATCTCTCCCTCCTACTCATTTATCCACTTGGTTGCAAATCACAACCCATATCTTGATGATGTGTAGTGTTTGAGTGTTGATTCATGCTTGTCTTATCAATTCTAGCCTCTCCTTATGAATCGCAATCCTTCCCCTTGTGTTGTTGAGCCAAATCTTTGTCTTTTTCTCTCCTAATCTCTCTCTCCTACTCATTTCTCCTCTTGGCTGCAAATCGCAACCCATATCTTGATGATATGTAGTGTTTGAGTGTTGATTCACGCTTGTTTTGTCCAATGGCATTCTAGCCTCTCCTTGTGAATCGCAATCCTTCCCTTTGTGTTGTGGAACTAAAACTTTGTTTTTTTCTCTCCTAATCTCTCTCTCCTACTCATCTCTCCACCTGGTTGCAAATCGCAACTCGTACTTTGATGGTGTGTAGTGTTTGAGTGTTGTTGCTTACTTGTTTTGTCTATGCTAGCCCCTCCTTTTGAATCGCAATCCATCCCCTTGTGTTGGTGAACTCAAATCTTCTCCTCTTCACCCATGATCTACTTCTTGTACTCAATTTTCTATTTGGTTGAAAAACGCAGCCGTTGGGTTGATGTCAACAGGTAATAGGGGGATGAAGGAGGTTGTTAGCATTGTCATTTTGTTGTTCTAAGTGCTAGGGTGGGCCGCGATTCACCCCATGATACTTCGCTGATCATTCCCCTGGGTAGATTGCTGTTGGCATTGTCATTTTATTGTTCTAAGTGCTTGGGTGGGCTGCGATTCACCCCATGATATTTCGCTGATCATTCCCCTAGGTAGATTGTTGTTGGCATTGTTATTTTGCTGTTCTAAGTGCTTGGGTGGGCTGCGATTCACCCCATGATACTTCGCTGATCATTCCCCTAGGTAGATTGTTGTTGACATTGTCATTTTGTTGTTCTAAGTGCTTGGGTGGGATGCGATTCACCTCATGATATTTCGCTGATCATTCCCCTGGGTACATTGCTGTTGGCATTGTCATTTTGTTGTTCTAAGTGTTTGGGTGGGCTGCGATTCACCTCATGATACTTCGCTGATCATTCCCCTGGTAGATTGCTGTTGGCATTGTTATTTTGCTGTTGGCATTGTTATTTTGCTGTTCTAAGTGCTTGGGTGGGCTGCGATTCACCCCATGATACTTCGCTRATCATTCCCCTGGGTAGATTGTTGTTGGCATTGTCATTTTGTTGTTCTAAGTGCTTGGGTGGGTTGCGATTCACCCCATGATATTTCGATGATCATCCCCCTGGGTAGATTGTTGTTGGCATTGTCATTTTGTTGTTCTAAGTGCTTGGGTGGGCTGCGATTCACCCCATGATACTTTGCTGATCATTCCCCTGGGTAGATTGTTTTTGGAATTGTCATTTCGTTGTTCTAAGTGCTTGGGTGGGCTGCGATTCACCCCATGATTCTTCGTTGTTCTTTCCCCTGAGCAGTTTGCTGCAAACCATGTCGTTTTGTTGCAAGTGCTTGGGTGTGTGGTGGTATACCCCGTAATACTTCGTTGTTCGTTCCCTTGGGCAGTTTGCTGCAAACCATGTCTTTTTGCTGTTCTAAGTGTATGGGTGTGTGGCGGTATACCCCGTAATACTTCGCTGTTCTTTCCCCAGGGCAGTTTGCTGCAAACCATGTCTTTTTGTTGTCCTAATTGCTCGGGTGGGCTGCGTTATACCCCGCGATACCTTGTTGTTTATTCCCCTGGGTAGATTGTTGTTAACTTTGTCTTTTTGCTGATCTAAGTGCTTGGGTGCATGGCAATGTGCACCTTGGTATATGGCGTTGTCTGATCCCCGCTGCTGAGTAGATTGCTGTTTTTTCGCCCGGATCTAGACTAGGAAACAACTAGGATTCACCCCCCTTGTGTTCTATTCGAACGCGGTAAGTGGGAGCTTCAAAAGACTGTTTTTTTTTTTGGTAATCTGAGGGTCTGTTGTGCCTTTCCTCTCATGGTAACTGTAGGACGGCAACCATGGACAGAACCTGGCCAGCATAGACTGCTGAACAAGGAGCAAGGACAGGGTAACCACCTTCGTCACAAGGATCATGCGGATACCGCAATTGGGCGAAATACGACCGACGGCACGTCGGCGGCGGCACGATAGGTACTTAGGAATAGGGTCTGAAACTATTCAGACCTCATATCCTGGGTATGAACAGATGGCCTGCAGACCCGGCAGGCCATCAGACTCCGTTTTCTGAAAAAATCACAAACCGGACTTCCTCAGAACTGTTCGCTTAAAGCCGGAGGACGCCCTAAACGGGCAACTTGGCCAAAACGATGTCAGAACGACGCCAAAGTTTGTGGAGGCGTTCCCTATGATACAGTGAGGAGGCCCGCCAAATTTGGGGTCAGTCTGATAACGTTTGGGGCAGGTAATACAGGACTGAGCACCCCGAATTTTCACCGTGGGCAAAGAAACAGCAAATACGGTAAATTACCGTAACTAGCGTAATTTGCAGATTCTGCAGATTCCAATTAACTGCATCCACAACAACTGTGTGTTCTCTGCATGTCGACAGCCGACTATGTACTGTGGGACTGTGTCTTGGTCTGGGACATAAGGGATACAGTCGGCAATAAGTCGGACGCCCGGGTAAGGGGGCAAGGCGGGGCCAGGGTCACTTGCATACGTCTCCCGCCGTTCGTCATCCCCGCCTCTCGTTCACCGCGACTACACTTCATGACCGGGTGTCCAAAGGACAACACAAACACACTTCCCCTCCCTCTCCTTCTCTTCCGCCTCCATCCCCTATACCCATCCACCATAACCGACCACCCCGACCCTTCTCCCACCTCCATCACCTACACCCATCCACCATAGCCGACCACCCCAACCCTTCTTCCACCTCCATCACCTACACCCATCCACCATAGCCGACCACCTCGA